TTTTTTTTTTTTTTTTTTTTTTTATGGTCTTTTGGGAATAGGGAATTGGGGGTGAAATAGAGTATTTCCTTGTTTTTGAGGGTGAGTAAAATGGGCATTGAACGGACAAGACCAACGAGGCCTTTCAAACAGTTAATGAAACACATTGGATTATTAATGGGCTCCGCTTAGAAGTTCGGAGTTCGAACTGCGCCCTTTTAAGTGTAGGGGCCATTTAGCCCAAGAAATAGTGTAATTGGGTCGGGTAAAGAAAACGGGCCAGAATAGCACAACACCGTCTCATCACACTCTCACTACCTCAACGACTACGAGCTGCCACCATGTAACGTAAACCTCACCGTTGACGCCCAAATATATCTCCTCTGTCTATCTTTACAAAGCAAAATCTCAGAATCACTGACTATTTCCACAACTTCTGAGAATTTGTTGGAGTCATTTGGTAATCCTTTACTTTAGCACTTGTTTCGCAGCTTAGCAAGTAATCAATGTAAATTGATAAACAAAAGAGACTAAGAAGATCCTTCATGAAATTGCAGTGTGCCTATACAATTTTGATAGCATTGAGGACAATTTTCCATAGAGAATTGAGCTTGCACTAAAGAATCCTAATAGTTGAATATAAACTTTTTTCTTTTAAGAATTTTTAATAGTGATTGAAATTGATACTTTAAAATATAAGTTGATATCACAGCATTACCTACAAAATTTGCTTTGCTTAGTCTTTTAAACTAAACATCATTTTCTCATCATGAACATATGGATTTAAACCAAAACCCATCTCTCAACATGAACATTAGGATTCTAGTAAATGAAATGTACAAATTTGTTTGCTAAACAAAAGAAAAGAAATTTTATATAACAATATCATAACAAAATATACATCGACTTTCTAAAATTTAGACAATTTACTGCTAGCCCCTTACTATGCTATCATGTTGCAACATTATTTAGAGCAGCCCTCATATCATTGCATTTGCATTTTATTTTCCTTCCATTTGCAACTTTCATGCCATAGCCCCAATAGAAACTTTACATAATAGCAATCCATTAAAACAAAACATGCATAAACTTTTTGGAACTTAGATTTTAATACTATCAATGAGTGACGATTTGTATTTCATCCTTCTCTATAGGTGTGGTCTCTTTATACCAATAAGATTTGTTTTCTTCACTTGAGCAGAAACTCGAACTAGTGGAAATCATTGGTGGCTGGAGTGCATTCATCCTTACTGAGTACATATAATTAAAGGGTCTAGGAGGTGGCATGATCTCCACACCTCCTTCTAGCATCTTCACCACTGCACTCATTGGTGGCCTTACCTCTGGTGAGTCTTGAACACACCATAATGCCACTATTGACATTCTCTCTACTTTTCCTATATCCTTGTCTTCCATCTCACAAGTCTTGGTCATTTCAACCAATTCACCTTTCTCATATTTCTCCCATACATGCTTTGGAAACCAGTCAAGGCTTTCAGAGGAGGTCATAACTGTGTTTCTTCTCCTCCCAATTATCTCAAATAACACCATTCCAAAACTATACACATCACACTTGAATGTTATGGGATGGTTTTTCAGCAAGAATTCTGGAGCAGAGTAACCAGGAGTTCCTCGGTAACCAGTGTTTGAGACGTGAGAAAGATCCCTATTGCAAAGCTTTGCAAGCCCAAAGTCAGCAACTTTAGGGAAAAAGTTTGCATCAAGGAGTATATTTGCAGGCTTTATATCATAGTGTATGATTCTCTGTTGACATTCTTCATGCAAATAAGCAATACCCTTGGCTGTTCCCATTGCAATTTCATGTAATTTTTCCCACTCAATTGTATCCCTTTCCCCAAACAAGTACTTATCAAGTGAGCCACTTTCCATGAATTCATATACAAGCGCACTCATATTTTGATCATAGCAAAAACCATAAAGTCTAACCAAATTAATATGGTATGTTCTTCCAATTGTGCCTACCTCCGCCATGAACTGCTCCTCTGCCGCTTTCTCAGAACTTTTCCCAAGCACCTTCACTGCAATCTTGACCCCATCCAAAAACTGCCCTTTATAGACCACTCCAAAACCCCCAGACCCCAACCTGGTCGAGTAATTACTCGTGAATGCACGGAGCTGCTGAGCAGTGAATCTCACCGGTTTCTCCTTGGCCATCTCTTGCAGGAACTTCTCCATGGGAGGTGCATCAACTTCCGCATCAACATGTAATCTCCTTTGACGACGACGACGCCAAAGATAACATAATGGAGAGAGGATCCCCGTTGTCGCTGCGAATTAATTTATCAGATTAAATGCCATTATTATCAATTTGGACATGACAATTCTAAATTCGTCATGTTAAATGATGCAAGAACTTACTGCCAACTACTATTAAAGCTAAAAATCCGACTCCAAGGTGGGCGCCTTCTGCGGCCTTATTAGGACGAGGGGATCCATCCGATGCGGAAAGAGCGAATGCATCCAAGGGGGAAGAAGACATCGTGAAAGAAGAAGCTTGATCATCCGTTTTGTGAAATCATGCAAGTCATATATATTAATAAGAGGAAGCATTTCATGGATGATGGACGATGGACGATGAAGCTCAGGCCTGAAGCATTGACGTCAGCGTGATTGAACATTGGATTATGCAACGAAATTTCCAATTGCAATGCTGTAGTGTTCCCTACCACAGGTATAGTTTCCCTTTTCTATAAAAAAGAAAAAGAAAAAAAAAACCTATCATTTTTTTTTTCAACTATTTACAACATTTTCAAATTATTAATGCACACTAATGCTCTGTTTGGTAACTTGATTTTGACCGTGTGTATTTGAATTTGGGGTGCTGAAATTCAATTTCACTGTTTGTTTTTACCTAAATAAAATGTAATTGAATTTCAATGAAATACGTGTATTTTAACCGAGTAATTCTTATGTGTAAATTGCGTGCATTTCAATTTCACCCTAAAACCCTCGAATTTCAATTTTGAATTGAATTTGGTCTGCACTCTCTTCTCACCGACGGCGATGAGCCTTCACCGTCCGCCCTGACTCTGCCGCTGCTCTCGCTGCTCTCGCTGCTCCC